ATTCATCCCAGATTACCCCAAATTCCCGGCTAGGCTCCCCTTTCAATCAACTCTTGCCAACTCCTCCCTCATGTCTTTGTACATACCTGTACTCAGTTGTTATATTATTACATCCGATTCCAGCTTCTCCCTCTCAAACTGCAGGGTGAATTCGATCACATTATGGCCACTGTCCCCGAAGGGTTCCTTCACCTTAACCTCCCTAACAAGTCTGCTTCATTACATATCACCAAATACATAACTGCCTATTCCCTAGTGGGCTGTATCACAAGCTGCTCAAAAAAAACAAACACTCTCATAGAATTCCACAAATTCCTTTTCTTGGGATCCATTGTCAACCTGATTTTTCCAGCCACATGCATATTCAAGTCTCTCATTATTATTGTAACAGTTCCTTTCTTACATGCCTTTACTACCTCCTCATTTATTTTCCACCCCGCTTCCCGACTACTGCTAGGATGCCTGTACATAACTCCCATCAGGGTCTTTTCCTTTTGCAGTATCTCAACCCTACCCTCACTGGTTCTACGCCTTCTGATTCTTATATCACTTCTTGCTATCAATTTAATTTTGTTTCTTACTAACAAAGCAACCACAACCCCTCTGCCCATCGACCTATCCTTTTGACAGGACGTGTATCCTTGGATATCTCGTTCCCAGCTCTGATCCCCTTACAGCCATATCTGTGATATCCACAACATCGTACCTGACAATTTCAATCTGTGCCGCAATTTCATTTACCTTGTTTCGTATACTGTATGCATTTAAGTTCAAATCCTCAGTCTTAACATTCAACAGGAATCCATTCAGCCTCAACATCCTGGTCTTACTCTGCCAGCAATGCCAAACCCCCTCCCAAATTGGTCTTACAGGTGTCACTGAACAACATGAACATCAGACTGCACATTAAATCTAGCACATATTAATTCTGTGACTAAACTTGAACAAAACGTTTCCTTAATTAGCATGGCTTTGCTTTGATCACACCATGTTATCACCACAAGCTTCTATTTGTTCCATTTGAAAACAGTCAAGAAGAGTAAATCAGCCAAAGCATTAATGTGATATGTGTCATGAAAAGACTTGCGTTTAGTAAGCATCTTTCAAAACCCCTGGTCATCTCAAAGTATTTTTTGGCCAATGAAGTACATGAGAAGTATAGTCACTGTTGTAGGAAACGTGGCAACCAATTGTTCCTCACCAAGTTCCCACAAACAGCAATGGGAAACAACAAGGTCATCAGCAGCTTTGTGATATTGGCCAGGGTGTTGGGAATAACTTCTTCACTCTTATTTGAAATCATGCCACAAGATATTTTACAATCCATCTGAGCAAGATGATAGGGCCTTGGCTTATTGGTTCATCTGAAAGACAACATGTGCAACAGTGTAGCAATCTCTCAGTACTGCAATGAACATCTGAGCTTGACCACAGAAGCTCTATCTCAGGTGAGAGTTTGATAGAAACTGAATTGCGGATGACACATCACAAGGATTCATTATCAATTCTGGATGCTTGTTTTGCTATTCCAGTATAGTTATTGTTTTTGATTTACTGTCATGGTCTTTTCTTTTTTAATTCAATTATTTTTTTTTATTTTCATTCAATCCCAGCTGTGACTGTCACTGGCAAAGTGAGCATTTACTGATCATTTCTTGTCACCCTTGACAACGTGGCAGTGAGTGGTTTAATTGAAACACTGTAGTGTGAGTACATAGAACATACATGCCCTTCAGCCCACCATGTCTGTGCAATGATACCATTCTAAACAAATTCCATCTGCCTGCACATAGTCTGTATCCCTCTATGCTGTGCCTGTCCGTGTCTAATTATTTCGTGAATGTTCCTATTGTATCTACCTTGACAGTATGTCCAGGCACCCTCTCCATAAAAAAACTTGTCTTGCATATCTTAAAACATTCCCCCTCTCAACTTCAACCTATGTCCTCTTGTATTTGACATTTGACTCTGGAAATCCACCCTATCAATGCTACTTAATCATATCACCCCTCAGCCTCTGAGATTATAGCAAAAACAATCCAAGTTTACTCAACCTCTCCTTACAGCTAACACCTCCAATCCAGGCAACTTTCTGGTGAAACTCTTTTGCACCCTCTCCAAGGCCTCCGCATCCTCCCTATAGGCTGGCTACCAGAACTGCACACAATATTCCAAATGTGCCCTAACTAAAGTCTTACACAGCTGCAACATGACTTGCCATCTTTTAGATTCAATGCACTGACCAATGAAGGCTATCATGCCATGCACTTTCTTTACCACCTTATCTACTTGTGCTGCCACTTCGAGAGCTATGGGCTTGCACACCAAAATCTCTTTGCTTAACAATGCTTCTAAGGGTCCTGCTATTTATTGGATACAGTGCTTTGCTCTTGCATTTGACTTTTCGAAATGCATCACCTCATGCATGTCTGGATTCAACTCCATCTGCTATTACCCTGTTCAACTTTCCAATTGCATATCCTGCTGCATCCTTTGATAATCTTCTTCGCCACTGACAACTCTGGCAATTTTCGTGTCGTCTGCTAACTTACTAATCAGTCCACCTACATTTTCATCCAAATCATTTATATATATATTTAGGTCCCAGCAGTGTTCTTTGTAGACCTTCACTGGTCACAGACCTCCAGTCAAGAAAAACACCCCTCCACAACTACCCTTTGCCTTCTATTACCAATCCAATTTTGTATCTAACTTACCAACTCACCGTGGGTCCCATGTGACATCTTCTGGACCAGCCTACCACAAGGGAGCTTGTGAATTGTTTTAGTGAAGTCCATGTAGATAACATAAACTGCCCTAACCTCAATCATCTTCAGCACTCCCTGAATCAAATTTGAGACAAGACTTTCCCCACACAAAGATTCCTACTCTCACAATTGCTCGTTATAGAGTTCAAGTATATTGATTGAGTGAAGTGAAGGAACAATGATCTATTTCCAAGTCATGATAATGAGCAATTTGAAGGAGAACCCATAGGTGCAGTGCAACCTTCAGCTTGTTATTCTCGTCTTTCTAGATGGTAGAGGTCCTGTGTCTGGAAGGTGCTATTGAACAAGCCTTCATGAGTTCATGAGATACACTTTAGATAGTACACATTGCAGCCACAGTGTGCCAGTGGTGAAGACAGCTTATCTGTAAGGTGGTGAGGGGAACATCAATCAAGTGGACTGCTTTGTCCTGGATGATGTTGAGCTATTGAATGTGGCTGGAACCTGCACTTATCTTGGCAAGTGGGCAGTATTCTATGACACTCCTGACGTATGTCACAGTTGATAAACAGACTTTGGGAGACAGGAGCTTTTTTATTTACGAGAAAGCACCCAGCATCTGATGTGCCATTGTAATCACAGTACTAGGTGGCCAGTCTAGTTAAGTTTCTGGTCAATGTTAGTCCTTGGGACGTTGATGGTCAAGGAATCAGAATGTCGAAATATTTTCTTGCAGGTGATGATTACCGCCTGCTATTTTTGTGGCGCAAGTTACTTGCTAAACTCCAAAGTGAATGTGGTCTTCATCCATGAGAGTGCATATTGCTCGTGTACCCGAGAAATCATGAATGAAATATGGAGTAGTCAGCAGCAAACATCCCCACTTCCAACCCCCTGTGGTGTTTAGAAAGACCTTGATGCATCAACTGAAATTGACTGGGCAAAGGACAGTGCCCTGAGAAACTCATATGGTGACGTCCTTAGTTTAAAATGACTAACAACCATAACCACCTTAGTGTGTGCTAAGTATCATTCCCATTAATAGAGAGATTGCTCCCAAATCCCTTCTGACTTCAATGTGTTGATGCCACACTCGGTCCAATACTGTCTTGACATCATGAGCAGTCACCAGTTTTATAAACAGACATTTTTGCTTGTGCCATTTACACTTTGAAGTGAAAAGTCCACTACAATATATAAACTGTGTTGTTCAACAATGCAAAAAGAATACTTTGGTGACTACATGCTTTTCCTTAAACACTCTTGTTCAGTTATATATCTGGTTCATGTAACTTAGGTGCCCCAGAATTTTGCTTTCATCACAGCAACTACACTGTATAATGCATCAATTTGGATCCACAAAATTCAAAGAACAAGATATGCTTCCCTCTATGGACAGGGAAAGAAAATCATGCTAGCACACTGAATTGCTTCGTCCTGTCATGGTCAGATACAAGGATTACGCTGGAATAGAGAGGCAAAGTGATCCTGATTCAAACCGGATTGCTTGAAGCAGTTTTACAATTTGTGGCTATCATTCCATTCAAATTCTGCAAACTTGTCTTCAGGTTAAAAAGAGCATTCTCCACATGCACAGGTGGCTGTGTCATTGATATCACTACATCTTGCAATATTGTTTATGCGTTTTAATAAACAACAAAATTCTGGGAAAGCTGAGATATTCACTTTTGCCTGAAATTGAAAGTATTCTCCAGAGTTCTTAGTCATCCCACAGATGCAACTCATATTATTGAGAAGACTATAAAATATTACAGGGCATAAACCAATAAGAACAAACAGGCTTGCCATCACATACTGTCCTGACCTCCCATACAAGTGTACAAGACAAGTTGGACTAGCAGATGTAATTTGCAAGTTTTAGTAGTGTTCAAGAATCAACAAGGCCCAGCAACTTGATAAAAGTCTAAACCATACTGTAGATCATGGTGCAGCAAAAACTGCAAATGCTAGTTTACGAAATGTTTCAAACAGATTCAAGACTTGACAAGGTGCTCATGAGAGCATTGGCCTGAAGCAAGATTTTATTCTGCAAAATTACATAATACATTACCATTATTTTAAATTGCAATTTGTTTGAATGATTTCATGGATAATTTTATAACATTTGCATGTTCTTTGCAATTCATATCCAGTTGAGCAGAGGTTGTGTTACCTCATGATAAGCAGATGAGTTGCGATGAATAAATTGTGCCTCTGGAGATTGGCATCCCTTAGGCAGAGATTGATGTAAACTATGAACAAACAGCGTACCTGTAACACTGCAGAACTATGGGTGTTGCTTGTGAAGAAGCGAGTGTTTCCGGTCTTTGAAGACTGTAAATGGGTTGCCACGCCCATGTCGCCACTCGCCAAGGACACTTTCAGATGAGGATCATCCTCTTCGACCAATGATCTGTAGAAATTGGAAAGGAGAAATTAGTGAATTTCAAAGCCAAATGAAAGCAGTATTGTATATCGGGGCGGAGACAGAAATCTTAGGTCCCGGTGCTGTCCCTGGCTCAGCCCCACCAACCAGAGCACAGTGCATACCACTCTGACTCCCATCACAGAGGCCTAGGCTTCGAGTATTGAACGCTGATGTAACCCCTCCATACTGGGTCCCACAATGCACCAAACAATTTATTTATGATGTAGTTGCACAGAAGTTATTGCACCTTAATTGTAATTCTCTTCATACAATCGAATAGAGTCTGAACATCGCTACTGGGTAGGTTTGCTGTTACCATCCTCTTTAAACGTCAGAATCTACAGGATCTGCTTGGAGTACTGTGGCAGCGGAAAACTACTCACTGGTCTATCCAGCAGATTAACCTTAAGCACATAATATTAAGTAGCTTCTTGAATGTTAGCAATTGGCTGCAGATTACATTGCCATGGTAGACACAGTTTCATCCCAAAGACATTTGTTACATAGATAATGAGGAAGACCTGAATATTAGGATCCCCAGCTGCTTTCTCCACAAGGAGTTATCAGAGTGGGCAGGGGGCAGGGGCGGCAGTGGTGGGATGGCATGTGTGTTTAAAATGCTTTTCATTTTTCACCCTTACAGACCCTGACACCCCAATACAGTGAACCCACGTGCTAGTAGAGCAACTCTATCTTAAGGACGCAACATATTTCAAAATCAGCATGAAGAAAACTGTTAAATGCACAGATTTTGCTTATACTGGAAGGGCTTTGAAAAAGCAAAAAAAATAAATCGAGGAAATCCATTGCATTTCATAATTGGAAACTTCTTGTACTTGCCGCCAAGAAACTGCAATCTTACAGTCTGAAATATCTAATAACAGCTCCAGATCTGACCACCGATCCACCAAGTCCTGAACTAAATATGTGCCTTTGTTTCTGTCAGGTTGATCCTGTTTCAATTTTGCAGTTAATTAGGTTTCAAAAGCACGACTCTCAAGACTATAGGGCTTCATAGAGTCTGGAGTCTGAATGTTGAAGACTCCCAATGCAAATTCCTGCCTCTCATATACCACTGTATTGCCACCTCTGCTAGGGTTCTCCTGCAGGACAAAAGCAGGGATGGTTATCAAGGTATCTGGGACATTGACTCCATGGTCTGATTCAGTGAATGTGACTCCAGAAATGCGCTGCTAGACTCATTTGCTGATTTTAGGACAAATCTCCAGCATTAGTAAGTACCACTGTACTGGGTTGACTGTGCAAGGTGTGCTTTTGTTGTTTCCAGTCCCTAGTGGGTGTTGGGTGTAATGCCTAGTTTAATTCTTTTTTGACTTTTTGCAGCAGTTTGATCTAGGTAAAGTGCTTGCTAGGCCATTTCAAACAGTAGTTACGATTGTATCGCTGTGATCTGAAATTATATGCCAGCCAGACCAGGTAAGACAGAAGATTTCATTTCCCAAAACCATGTTTCTACAATACCAAAACAGAAAATGCTGGGAAAAGATTAGCAAGTCTGGCAGTATCTGTGGAGAAAAATTAGAATTAACGTTTCAGGTCGAGTGACCCTTCCTCCGAACTTTTCGACAGTTCCTGACACAAATTTAATCCTCTTTCATTTCCACTATTTGTAGCCTACAACAAAACTAATTACAAGTCCTTGATTGTTCCCTAAATCTAACCAAGTAAGTTCTCTCAAATTCATCATTCCTTTCCACTGCTACACCTTTATTCTCTCTCCTTGCTCCCAGTATTTCTCCGAATACCTTGTAGCCAGGAATATAAAATGTCCAATCCACTCCTTTTGATGAGAAATAGGTAATACTGCAGCCAACAGGAGAACATCCCTGCTTTTGTTTTGAATAGTGTTATAACCTCTTTACATCTATCTAAACAAGTCAACTGGTAAACAATTTCATGTAGAAGCAAAATACTCTGGATGCTAGAAATCGGAAATAAAAACAAGAGTTGTCTTTGGTTTTGAAACGCTAACTGTTTCCACAGGTTTTGTCAGATCTGCTGAGTTTCTCCAGCATTTTCTGTTTGTAATTTAAAAATTGATGTGTTGGACAACACCACCGGCATTCCTTGAGTGCTTCAAGTGTCAGCCTTGATTTAACGTCCTGGTGAGGAACTTAACACATTATTAAAGTGGCTCATAAACCATATAAACAGAACAACATAGAATTTAGCTTCTATTTTTCCTATTTAACTGATGTGCATATAGACTTAGATATGTTCCATTTGCCTTTCTCTTCCCATTATTCTGAATTCTAATTGACTACAAGGATAGTAATTAGCATCCAGTCTCCCCCAACATTTAGGAATGAAAGTAAAAATCAGAGAAATGCAGTATTAAGTCTGCCTCAATTCTCTAATTTTGAAAAAGTATTTAACATGCATTTTTCAATACCAATGGAACTGAAGTCTGCTCTCTACGGATTTTAAGTGACGTTGTTTCATTATATTATAATAAATAAAATTATACCAAAAAGTGATCTGCAATCTGGACGACAGATAGGGAGGTAAAAGGCAAATGATAGAGAATGATATTTATTACACAGAAAGAGGCTAGTTGACTCAATGTTGTGTTAGCTCTTAGCCTGAATAATCTAAACGCAATTCTCTCACTTTCCCTACCAGCTTGTATCTATCTCCTCTTGTAATATTCATCTCTGGCTCAAACCCTCCTCATAGCAAGCATTCCCTGCCTCAGTAACTCAGTGTCAATAAATTCCTTCTAATCTCTATCAAAGACAATGTCAAATTAAAGACCTTCATTAAACCTCTGCTTGGCATGGATTGCCGCAATGGAAATATTCCCAGTATCTCAAGTCTCTCATCATTTGCATATTTTGGTGAAAACAAGCATTAAGGACACACTATGTGTGTTTAAAATTGTACAAGGTAATGAAACTCGGGTCAAATTAATGCTTTGTTTGAAGCCCCTCAGGATGTCTTATCATATTAAAGGCGCTGCGCAATTGCTGTAAAACTCAAATGCTGTTGATCATTTGTTAAAGATGATTTATCTATGGGCACTTCAATTTTCCAAAAATTATGCATTTCAAGTCCACAGGCCAAAGCAGTTATTCAAATTCTAAATGCAAACAACAAGGAACATACAAATCATGTGATAGTAGGAACTGCAGATGCTGGAGAATCTGAGACAACAAGGTGCAGGGCTTCTGCTCCTATGATGCTGCTTGGCCTGCTGTGTTCATCCAGCCCTGCACCTTGTTGTCTCACATACAAATCATGTGTTTGTGAATGGCCAGTGGAACACATTGTTACCTTACAAACACGAAAAGATAGAATTCCAGCCCCATTCCAAGACTTCAAAAAACAGCTGAAACAGAATGATGAACCAGCAGTGTACAAAGCAACTGCTGTACTGTCATCTGCCATGTCCTTTGGATGAATTAAATAAAAATCTTGTCTGCCTGATCTGGTGATTCATGTAGACTTTAAGAAAGTTGTGTGGGAATAGAAACAAAGAAAACTCACAGGGCTGGCAACAACTGTGGAGAGGAAACCAGTGTTAATGTTTAACTTTCTCCACAGATGCTGCCACAACTTCTGGGTTTCTCCAGTAGTTTCTGTTTCCAGCATCCAGAGTTCTTTGTTTTATTTTAGTGATAACAGAGCAGGCAGATCCTGGAGAACATTCTTCCCTCAAGCATCATTAGTGTAAATCTAATTAACAGAGGCTGCCGGTTCTCCCTGAAATCTTGAATCATTTATGGATAAAACAGATCTCTGCAGCCAACTCATCCTTTGGTAGCAGTAGGATCTTCTGAGCAATATGGTAACTGCAATTGCCTATTGCACATCAAAATCATATATCACATACTTCAATTGAAACTGTGCGTTGGATTAATGCAAATTGCTTTTTTAAACATCACAGGAGTTTTAAATGAAGTACAGATAAGGCTTAACGACTGTTTTGACACATGGTGAAGTTTTGTGTTTAACTAATTGCTGGTATGATGAAAAATCCTGAAATCAGCACAGCTTGAACTTCATTCCCTCTTCGTACATTTTTGTGTTACATTTTTAAAAAAATAAACAAACAAATTAAATTAACAACTGAAAATGACAGTTGGTGCAGCAGAAGGAATGAAAGGCATGAGGCAGGGCCTATTTGAATTACAAATGAACAATCTGATTATACCTTTTGATATTCTGATATCCATTCACAGCTGTGACACTGCCTCAGCAGTGAATTGATGGAAATTAGTTTACTCACAAACAGTTTCCAAGTGTTCTGAACCATATGCTCCTTCACACAATGTGTTCTAGGGAGGATTATATCAGCAGTCAGCTTGCCCTCAGTGGCAATGGCAATGAATTGAAGATTTCAGGGCGTTTTGGTCTTTGAACTATAAAAGCTTTTCTTAATTTTCCTGAAAACATGGCAGAACTTTGTTAATAAAGTCTACCTTTATCACAGAAATGTTTTGAGAGGGATGGCTCTGAAGTCATACTTCCCAGAATACACTTTGTGAACTGGAATCAGGATTCCCAACATGGACAGCATATGCAAAGCTGGAATTTTCCACAACTTTCAGAATAAACCATGCATATTAAAGTCTGAATCGTGGTTTGTTTATGTGAGGCATCAGCCATTTCTGTGCGAAGGCTTTTTGAGTCAGAGATGCACAGCGTGGAAACAGACTCTCCAGCCCAACTTGCCTACATTGATCAGCTATCCCAAATTAATCTAGTCCAATTTGCCAGCATTGGCCCATACCGCTGTAAACCCTTCCTATTCATGTACCCATCCAGATGCCTTTTAAATCTTGTAATTGTACCAGCTTCCACCACTTCCTCTGGCAGCTCGTTCCATACACCCACCACCCTTTGCTTGAAAAAGTTGCCCATGTCGCTTTTAAATCTTTCCCCTCTCACCTTAAACATATGTCCTCTAGTTTGGACTCCCCCACCCTGGGAAAAAAGCCTTGACTGTTCATCCTCTCCGATAA